CTAGCAAGATACTCCTATGACCGGAATACCCATAGGTCCAAAAGTATTTCTGCTTCTCCCAAAGAGACATGAGAAATCAGGATTTCTGCAGCAGAAGGGACTGTGTGTGAACGTGTGTATTCTGCATTCACCCTGGTGTATGTGTACAAAGAATCTGCAAGGTAAAAAGATCCCTATTTTTGCAATTAATTCCAAACCCTTGAGGAGGAGCTTGTTGACAATCCAGCAACAAGCACCAAACCCAGCTTCAGGTCTCACAACAGTTTTGTCTCCTCCTGCAGAGAACTGGGCTGGTGACAAATCAATCTGCATGAGATGTCATTCTGACTTGGAAGAAGCCACCTTTGATACTGGTTGGATTCTTCTTTGCTAACAGACCCCAAGTTGCTCTCTATATTCAAACTCTCTCACGTCCTTTGAAAGTGCTTGTAAAATCCCCCAGTTACAACGAACACAGGGGCCTAGAGCTCCAACTATACTACATTTTTTCCTAAGCACACAGGAAGAGAAAGGACTGAGTGCATCAGCAGTATTTTAACTTGCATCGGTTCAGAGCACACTCAAAGGGACTGTTTTGCTAGTGATGAGTTACTGGAACCCAGCATGCTCCTACCAACCACTCCAGCCTGTGCCAAGGAGAGCACTTAGAGCAAATGCACTCACTGATTTCCCCAGTTTGCTATTCAAGTCAGTTCTCCTGTGCGTTCTTTGAACAGCATAAAGCAGCCTCAGTTGTGATGCATCTGCACCAGAATTTCCTCTGCTAATCACTACTGAGATCTGCTGTCAAATGGAAGTTATTAGCCCCATACACCATGATACAGCACCAGGACAAACAGGTACAATTAAACTCTTCTATACTCGCAGTTTTCAGGTATATACAACAACAAAGTGCTGGTGTTTCTATTCCCTGAAATCTCCTGATGCAGCCATGCTGGCGTGTTGCCTTTATAAATGACTACTTCAAAGGGAGTTCTTGTTTTGCTTCGGCTTTTTCCTCTCTTTATGTGACCAAAGGGAAGGCCTTAGAAGGAAATATTTCCATTTATTCCATGGTCAAGTACTTAGGCTCCAAGACTTTGCTGTACCCCAGGGTGGATATTGTTTGTAGACAGCACTTAAATACCTTAGACAGTACTTTTGTCCTAAAGAGTGCAAGGAAGAATGTTTTTGTTTGGCTACTTTAAAAACATGTTTTGAAAGAAAAATAGTGAAATGTGATGGCTCCAGTAAATAGGCCAAAACCTGGCTCCTCTTGAAGGTCAAATGTATCTTAAGAAACATGCTGTTTGCAAGAAAACCCCCAAACTCTCTTGAAGTATCCTACTGCTCCTATATTGAAAACACTAATTTTCAACAATCTTTTGCATTTTGATTTGCACTGTTCATGCATTAACAACAGTCAATAGTCCCACAGGATCAGAGCAATCATTCTTTATGTCTCAGCTACATCCTGCCTCATGCCTTGTCTTGAGCAGTATCCAGTAATAGATGCCCCAGAGAACAGTGCTTAATGGTAAAATCCCTATCTTGTTCCACTAGTAATCACTGACCTCTGCCTTGCAGCACTAGAATCCATCTGAAACTTGTTATTAGAGAAATAAGAAAATAGAAAGACCTTCAGCCTCAGGTCTGGAAATCTGTTTTGGCCCAAACACTATGCATCCCAGCTTGAATGATGCACAATACCCACAGCTCCAAGTGGTGCTACTAAACCCTATCAGTGCAAAACAACTAGTGCCTGAGTGAAGTAAGACTGTGCTGCTTTCAGACACATGCCAGAGGTGATCATGGCTTAGAGTTAGTAACGTTTTCTCTCCAAAGCTGGTTTGCTACCAGGCTGCAAAGAAGCTCAGAGCACTTCGGACACTCTGATGCTGTCAGATACAAGGTTTATTGATAATTATTCTGCAGGAGAAATAACAGCTCAATTTAGATGTGACGTTTCCATTTGGTTTTGTTGTGTTACATAAACTCACCCATCAGGCTTTACTGAAAAGGATGCTGCAGTGCCTTTGTTTACAGATCTGAACAGCAGCAGTTGAAGGTTCCTCCTCCCAGCTGAGCTGAAGGAAAAACAACACACTGAAGGACTTCAAAAACTCATGGCACCTCTAACAGCCAGAGTTTAGCACTGACAGCCTAAAAAAGACAGTCCCAGAAGCTTCACCCTCAGTCTCCATCCTACCAGCTCCAGGTACCGACCACCCTTTTGTCCTTATGTAGCACGAGAAACAGAAAACCATGAAGACATCTGTATAAAAAAAGCTTACTGTTTATGTAGTTTATGGAGCATTATGACAAGCTTCAAAATAGCTTAGCAACACAGAAATTGCTTTGCATACAACTGATAACATCTCCCAGGTGAGCATAAGAGGATACATTAACATTGTAGGAAAGGAGCAGAGGTAGGCATGCGATGAAATAAAGCATCCTACGCAGAGAAGCAATTCAAAGACAGGAAATAAAAATCCAACAGAGTTTCTGGCTTGTCTCGATAAGAAATTTAGCTTTTACATTTTTTATTGCCATAGGGAGGTGGCACACAATGCTATCTCCAAAACAGCAGGAAGAGATGGTATCATTCTGTTCCACAATCTTTTTCTATACTGTTCACAATCAGAAATTAGACAGTACAGCAGGAACCTACTGGAAAGAATACAAACAAGGGAAGAGGTCGAAGGAGAAAAACCACACTCTCTGTCCCAGGGGAATGGCGAGACCTCTCCTAGGAGAAGGGCACTGCACCTAAAGACAGAGTTGGGATAACACTTCCATCACCACTGAGGAACACCTCATGCCTGCAGCAGTGAGGCATGCTCCCCTGCAGCCCTTCACCTGCTTTGTCCTCGGACATCAGGAACAACCAACAGAGAGGGACAACAGTAACAACCAACACAGAGCCAATTTAAGGCTCTGGGGGTACCTGTGTGCATCACCCAGAACTTGTACTTACTGCAGTTAGTCCCCGAGGCACTTCATTCCAGGGGAGTAGTTGAGCACCTTTACAATATATCCCACCTCTTTTCCCTATGATACTATGACAGTACTGCACTGAAATCTGATGGGCACTCAGACCCAAGCCTAGATAAGAGAAAAGGAGCCTGGGACCAAGTTCATTGTTACCCACTTTGCCTCGCCCTGAGGTGGCATTTATTTATGCAACTACCGGCTGGTCAAAGCTCATATCACAATCATCATTTAAAATACTGCATGCCACATTTTTAAGAGGAAGATACTCAGTTTACAAGAACACGCATTTAAGCAACATTACTTGGTCTTTCAAATCCATGCCCAGTGCATTCTCATGTGCTGCTTAAAACCATGTCTTGTTTATCTCAATTTTCCTCATTGTGCTTCTACTCTGCTTGAACAAACCCACTTCCTTCAGAAAGTCTAAAAAAAGCCTTTGGGCTCCATTAACACAAATTGGCAGAATCCAACCTAGGATCTGTGTGATGCCAATTACTGTGGCCTAATGACCATGTCACAGTAACTAAGTGCAAAAGAACTCTTTATAAACTGTCATAATAATGCATTTGATAGCTACAACATTAAGTCATACAAAGATTTTATCCTATTGAGCCTTTACCCTATTTAATGACCCTCAAATTCCAACAACAGAGGGGTTTTTTAATGGATGCAGAGAAATGACAAGAAGCTTGGCATCAACTTGGGGCTGAACACAGCTGAAAGCTGGGTCTCCTCATCAGAGCTCTCAAAGCACATGTTATTATTAAAGAGAAGGATATCATATCAGTAATAGTTTTTAAGTCAGTTCTTAGCCACTCTCCAGCCAACTCAGTGACACAGTGCAATCAAATAGACTCCAAAGAACATCTTGAGCTTTACTTCAACATTTAATTCCTGGTGTCTGAAGAGAAATTATGAATAGCACATTGTTCTGCTCCGCCTTCCACCAGAGTTTCTAGGTTAACCTCCTCACATCCTATGCCAGTATCTCCATTTTGCAGATGGGCTGGAAAAGCATGCAGATGAACCAAATGAACTGGATGCTACAGATAAGGAAATGAGATCAAGGCAATTGTTCCTCAGGTTTTAAGGGAAATTCAGGTTCTATTTTTAGCTCCACCAAATCCTCCAGTTCCAAAAAGTAAAAGCTTGCCTTCCTCCTCTGCCATAGTATTAGTGCCAATGTTTTCCCTGGTATGATCCCTAGATAAGACTCAGATTCCTCTCATACTTCTTGGTGGTACAGCACAACATGTGTCCTCCTTTTTACTGTGGGATTTTCCATTAGTCTAATTCTCTTAAGTTTCTTCCATGAAATCAGAGAGGGAAAGATCTTCAAAAGCTTTACAAGCTTTTTGTATTATAGCACTGTTAGAAAACTGTGTTACTAAACCCTTTAATTATTAACACATGCAGAACTGACGTGTACATGGTGCCTTAGAGGGGAAGAGTGCGAACAGTTTGAAATCTTGCACTCCAAAGTACGTAGGAACAAAGTACATGAAAACCTTCCAGTTAAAAGGAGGTGTGGAGATGGAAATGATGAATATAAGGACTGCCAGTGGAAATTTTTGGCAAGCTGCAAAAGAGTAAGATGAGGTGCACCTTGTAAATTAGGATCATGACTCCAAATAGTAAGGGCAGCACAAATGAAAACATGTATGAGAGTGTAAAATGAAAGAAACCCCACTTTTATTATAAGTTGTGACTATGGAAACAGGAAGAGGTAGAAACTTGTTATCTCTCTATGAAGACTTCATTCTCAAAAAGAAAAGGAACTTTAAATGATGAGAGAGGAGGGGAACAGATGGTAGTCATCATTTTCTATCAAATAACTGCAACACCAAAAGGATGTGCCAGAGTAAACATGTAACAAGAACAATTCTTGCTACTTCATCTCTCTCTTAATAATAACTAAATATTTAAGTCCCCTTTGGATTTAAGGGCTTCATCTAGAGAAGTGCACTACCTGTACCCACCAGCTGAGAGCTATTAACACTCCTCATAAAGCAGGCAAGAGGACCAGGTCCTTTAACAGAGCTTTATTTTTGATTCATAATATTACAGCCATTTAACCTGAGAGAAAGACTCCTATTAGACAGCAAAGCACACCCAGGGTACAGATGTAGCGGGCAGCCAGGGCATGCATAAAAACTGGTAGAGAAACGGTTCTGTGCCTTTGTTGCAGAGTTCAAAAGAAGGAAAAAAAGTTCACAATTGACTGCTGGGTGCAATAAATACAAGAGCTGCTTGAGGTAGAGAAAGAACGCAAATAAAAGCTTGCTGAGCCTTTACTTGTCTTGTAGGTTACACCTCATAATCCCCAGCAGAGATGTTTCCAAGGAAAGTTGGAGGAGCGTTGCAGAACAGCTCACTTTCCAGGCAAGAAACCTAGAAAAAAGCTCCTGTTCTTCACTCCATAAACACAATCACAGATCATTTCCTCATTCTGGCCAATGCACTGGAAGACAGCAGCATACACTTAACAAAAACAGCAACTCACAAAGCGTGGCTACTGTGAGTCCCACAGTAATATTCCCAGCCCTGCCAATCAGAAAGTACTTATTCAATAAAAATATGCTTAAAAAATATCAAAGCTAATAATGCAACTAAAAACCAAACAACAAAAGAAAACCCTGTAAACCTCAGGGTATATTAAATCCGTTGTATTAACCATCCTGCTAAGTCCATCATGACCAAGATACTACAGCAAATGCCACAGCAGAAGTAGATTTTTGTGCTTTATTATTTATGTAAATATGCATTTACACACACAAATTATGCTTTCAATTAAATAATGTGTCAGCCCAGAGGAAGAATCCAGGACTTTTTCAGTAGCAGTATTCAGAAGGGGAGAAGGTATTTTGAACATTATAAGCAAACGAAAGCTCTTCAGAGAGAAGCAAAACGCTCTACTTTCCAAGTGACTTTTCTTTAGGGGCTTGCACAGTATTTAGAGATCCATTTGCCACATTTGGAACTTGCACATTAAAGAAGACTGCCCTGGTTGTGGAACTGTGTGTTGCATGAAAAAATAACCCCTTTTCCAGGCTCAACCAAGCTGTGCACACTCTGCCCCAAAGGTAAGGCTTTACCTCTGCTCCTCTGGCCACAAAATTTGAATGCTCCAGCTATACTCCAAGAAACGTGCATAGGAATAGGTAAGATAATCAATTCATTTTGCCTAGGGCTATAAGCTATACTTCACCTACCACCCCCATCCCTGCTTTGCTACTTCTCCCCTGACAAATTACTTGACAGACTATTACTGAGGAAACAAGAATTTCTGGGAGTGTTAGCATTCTGGAATTATTACCCCAAACCTTTTTATTTACCTGTCATAATTACTTAGTAGAATATACATGGCGAATCTGTGCTAAGAAGCCTGAACTTGTTTCACAGCGCTTACCATACTAAAACATGGCAGTTCTATGGCTAAAATTACTGGGTAGGACTGAAAGCTTTGCTGAAAGCCCAGATAAACAATCAGGCTGAAAACATGGTATTACCCTCTGGAAAGACCAAATACAAGAAGTACAGTAGATCAACAGGGGAGGAAAAAAGGCTTTTTGAATCACCCAGTAATCCAAAATCCTATTTTGAGCAATTTACACAGACAAATTGCATGTGGATTCTGGCTGCACTAGTGACAGAACACCAACTGTGCTCTATTTTGAATTATTTACTTCAATACCACGATTACCCCAATGAAAGAAAAAGAACAGAATTCAGAGGAAATAACAAGAATTTAAGAAAATCACACACAAGTTTTTATATATGAATTCAGACCAGGAAAGATACAGAACAAATTGTCACGAACTTGACACTGTGCCAGGACCTTCCCCACGAAGGTTTCAGCTCTGACACAGATCTAATCCTTGTCCTTGGACAAATTCAACTGTGGATCGATTTCCCAAGCTGCGTAATTGCTTTTGGTGCCTATCTTCTATCGATTTTCAGTAAACATTAGCAATCTGTGCACTCAAGTCTCAGTTTCTGCTTACTTCAGACAGGAGGAATATCCATTTCGGAGCAGAAGCACAGCATCTCAAAAGAACAGTGCCAATCAAACCTGCATTTGTGGCTGTGTAAGTAAATTTGAGGCACTGGCTTCCAAGACTGATCCCATCTCGCAGGTTCACCTACAACAACTGGGCAAGTTCTCTCAGTTTAGATAAAGCTTTGCTATGGAAATAAGGGATGAGAAAGCAGCCTAATTCAATAGAATTGGAGAATTAAGCAATGTACTCGATTATGGTATGTTTTAACTGCAGGGCAGAGTCAAAATCCCATCTGAATTCTGACAAACTGAGCCAAACTTGAGGAGCAAGTGCGTCATTTGCTTGGTCTTTGCAGATTGCTCAGTTACGCAACAAAATACGGTCATTAAACTTAAAAGGTTTTCTTCTCATCCTCAAAATGCTTGTTCAGCAAAGGGGACTATGTACATGATGCTCATTCACACAGTTTTCAGGTTTGGCAAATGATCCATGCACAGAAAGTTCCATTCCATATCCCCGTTTAGAGATGAATAACAAAACCCAAACCAGTCTATTATACCACAATAGTTAAAACCCTTACTCCTAACTAAACCAGGGAATCTGGCCAGATTCCCAATGCACACTACATAAAAGTACTCCCAGCACTGAGGCCAGCTTATCAACAACTTGACTCCGGACAAACAACCCTGGCTCCAGCAAGGAATGTAACATCCACTCTCCCCCCAAAACACATTAAGGACTTTCTGTTCCCAAAATCAACCCAAACACCCCCACCCAGCCCACCGCTACTATTCAGACTTTAATAATACCCGCTGTTAATAGCATTTTGATGCTACCAGCTGGCAGAGCGGCACACACTCTTTAAAACAACGGTATTTAAGCCCTGCAAGCACAGAACCCGCTTTCGGGGGTCCCCGCTCCCCCTCCGCATTGACTCTCTGGAGGCTTCGGCGGGAGCCGCCGCACACACCACCACCTGTGTAAGTACGGCATTCACAGGACGGGAAGCCGGGGCCGGAGCCCTCGCTTCGCCCCTTCTTCCCTCAGCGCTGTCCCGCCGAGGCACCGCTTCACCGCGGGCGGGAATTCAAACACCCCGCGGGCCCCGTTACCTCAGCCGCGGCCGCGCCGCCACACGAGCGGGGCGAAGGCTGAAACGCGGGTTCAGCGCCGCGGTCGTGCTGCCGGGAGGCTGCGGAGCGACTCGGAGCGGCTGAGGTTAAGGCACGATCCGACCGCGGAACGCGGTTTCGAGACTCTCGCCTCAGGCGACGGAGCGAGCCCGCGGGCTTCACCTCACACCGCGCCCGGCAGCCGCCCGCCATTACCTGCCGCGGCCGGAGCCGGGACCGCCCTCGCCTCGCTGTGCTCGCCGCCGGGGCCGCCCACTGGGAGAGGGGCACGGGACCGACCGGGCCCTTCTGTCCGCAGCCCGGCGGGAGATGTAGTTCGTGTCTTGGAGGCGGGGAGCGCCGGATTGCGGCCCGGGCCGCAGCTGAGGCCCTCCGCGGCCGCCTCAGCCGGGGACGGGCAAGGACGCGGCCGCGAAGGTTTTATGCGCTCGACGCCAGCCCCAGACACGGGGTTTGGAGCGCTCTGGCCACGTTCAGCACCGACCAAACACGGGTGAGTGGGGAGTGATGGGGCTCACCAGGGCTGCAAGGCACAGCTGGTCACAGAGCGCTACAGGCTGCAGACCGGTAAACACTTAAATCACCGTTGGAATGCCAGAATTCGGGCACAGCAGCTACGTGTGAGCTTCCCAAGCGGCTCCTCAGCCGATCTCACCAGCACTCACAGCGCTGTAATAGGAATGAGTGAGGAAAAGCACCTGCAGCACAGCTATGTGCCTGTCAGAACACTAAGAACCCATGTACCAGGGTGCTTTTCCCTTGATTTTTCAAAGCCTGTCTTCCAAACTTGGTGAGAGAGCCCAGAGCAAGCCTCAGAAGGTCCAGCGGTAGCAACTAAGCCTATCTGTAAGTACCTAACAAGCAACTTAATTTCTTCATCAGCTCTTTGAGGTTTTTCCACCCAGTCAGTTTTCACCTGTCACTTCCCTCCCAAGTTCCAGTTTTACCTTTTCATCACCTCTGCACCACATCAGTTCTCTGTTTGCATTGTTGAAGAAGAGTCTTAAACAAAAACCTCGTGATCACAGACAATTCCCTTCACATCTCTCAACCTCTCCCATCAAACCATCCCAGTCAGCTAAGGCAGTCCTTTGCACAGAGTATGTGGTGCAGTTCTCATGCCATGTTGCTGTGAGCAGCAATTAGTAGCTAAATGTAATGTTTTAAATGTCTTAAAGCAACAAGTGCATAAATCATTCCGTAAGTACAGCTTTCCTGTTTTCTTCTTCCACCCCAAACATGCTAGGGTGGGAGTTTTACCCCTACTTAGGCAATTGTCTTCACCAGCAGGTCCACACAGCTTTGTTTTAGACAACAAAAGTGTTAGTAGCAACCCATCTCGCTGCTGTAGGACCACGGGGATTTCACACACATATAGATACGACTGTGTTTCATGGTAAAACATAACCTTTATAGGATGACAGAAATGCAACTGCATTATGTCGCACTGTCATAACTTTATTACAGCTACCATACAGATTCTGTGTTTGACTATTTTAGTTAATGAAAAATAACAAATAGGGGATAGAAAAAATGTTATAACAATGCCAGCTCCAAACTCTAGCTAGCCAGTAACTCCAGCCTCTCCAGCTTGTTAAAGAAGTAATTTCATACTTCATCCAGCTTGTCCCATGTTCTTAAAACAGGCATCTTCAGTCATCCAGGCTCTCCTTAGGGCCTTCCAGTTCTTTCTTTCATGAAGCAGACAGGATAGTTCAAAGTTCCTGCGGTGGAGATACCACTCTTATGTATATGTATGTCTTCCTGGGGGTGTTAACACTCTTAAATTGCCAATCATTAAGTACTAGTTTTTCAGCTGAGCTTTAATGGTACTGACCATAAGATGCTTCTGGTTCACAAGCAGAAGGATCTTCTTATTTGCTGAAGCCTAAGTACTTTTTTGATAGCCAAAAAAAATATTTTCTTATACTATTGGATATACTTATACTATTGGATTATATTATTGGATAAAGAAGTGGTCATGTAGTCTATTATTAATGCTTCTGTGACATGTACACATGTATTCTTGGCAAGTGTGACAATGGAGAATCTTCCTCTACCAAAGCTCAGATTTGAGAACAAAATCCTCTATTAACGCCCACAAGTAGAATGTGAAGATGCAACTGCATAACAATCGTCTTCCCCCAAGCAAACCAAAAAGTCACCATTATCAACTCTATAGAGGAAGACGAACATGTCTGAAGAATAAGTTTAAAACAAGTGAAGAAGAAAGGACTGAAGAGCCAGAAAAGAAGGAAGCTTAACAGAGAAGTTAGAACAGGGAAGGAAAACTGATCATGAAATCAAGATAACCCATCCTCACCCCCAATGAAATCACACACAGTAGGTGTTTCAGGGTTTGTGTTTCAAGGTTCAGCCACCTGGATGTATTCTGGAGGCACCTTCAGAATGTATTGGTTTGGATCTGCTGCACAAGAGTGGTTACTATGGCAGTCCATACACTTTCCTACATGCTGAGCCCTTCAAGAATGTTAAGAGTTACACCACAGTTTTGTAAAAAAACTCCATAATATAATCTTCACGTTGTATTGTGTCTTCAATTCTGGTTACTCCATTTGAGAGGCTACCAGAGTGCTACAGGCCATTAGGGAGAGTATCATCTACAGTCTTTAGTCCCACACTTTCTGTAGCATTATAGAACAATACATTCAGACATACTGAATCTTTAGGTAACTATTGTATGGCATGTACATTACACAGCATTTAACTGGACGGACAGGAGGCTTTTACAAGCAAGTCAGGGAAGTTACAAGATGCAAGGTATTTAGGCTGGGGTTCCATGGCAGCTTAAGTAAGTCTAACTGCTGGCTCTTTTGTTCCTATTGTTCTGACCCTCCTAACCCTAACCCTCTCTAGCACCCATCTGACCTTCTGTGAAGCCACTTCAGCACAGAACCAGGCAGAATAACCAAACTGGCAGCTCTCCAGAACATTAAGGACTTCTCTGATGCACTGTACATCCAAAAGGTTCAGCTGAGGCTCTGAGGCACACTGGAATCAGAGTAACAGAAGCAACAGGGACCAGCAACCAGCTGTTATATGGACTATGGAATCCTAGGCCTTGCAGTTTCATTAGATGATCAATGATGCTGCAGTGGTTAAGAAGCTATTTGCAAAGCAGCTGTTTGCTCTGTTAAAACATGGTTGGTTCTCTGCATGTTTAAATATAGTCATGTTATATGGGTCTGCTGTGTGACCAACACAGAGGAAAAGCTTGCCTCTGGGCACAAACAAATAATCCCTAGTGAATCTTGTTCACAGGCCAGCACCACCACAGCCAATGTGTTTAATAAAAAAACACAGCTGTCAATCACTCACTGAGAAGGTCAGTTTCCTTCCTGCCCCCAGATTTAAAACGTATCCTTTATGGCAGTTTACAGTAAGACACTTTCACAGGAACACATTTAAGGCATTAGTTCACCCTCTTGCCTGCTGACTCCAGAAAAGAGCAGATGCCTTTGGGAGGTAGCATCTTTAAGCCACACACAGTTTGCCAGAGCTCATTTGTCAGAGCCCTGAGGCAAGCCTTTCATCTTTTAGCCACATAATGATAGCAGAACTGTATTATAGATGGCTGTCTTTACATGCATGAGCAACCCAGTTAAAATACGTATTTCTGCTAGCCAATGCAAGAAGCAAATTCCCACCTGCTCACTATCAGCCAGTAAAGCTATTCAGTAGGTGTCCAGACAACTCAGCCTCCTCTCCAAGAAGCTCTAGAATCTTGCTGTAAACACATGCCTGTACTCAGGAAGATTCTGCTCAGTAGCAGCAGAACAATACAGACTAGTCCTTTTATGAACAGATACCACTTCTAGACAAAACATGAACCCAACATGCAAACAGAACTTCAAAGAAAATAAAAACACAAAACTCAATCTCTCCCAGACCTCTCGGTACAACTGGTGGTTTAAGTTCTAATAAAATGACTAAAAACTGCCCCAAAAAAGGAGGCAAAGAATGTGAGCACAAAATCAAAACTTGCTACAAAGCAAAACATCCACAGAGCTGATCTTGATTTAAATAGAAAACACTTTCATAAACACCAACATTAAGAGAAGCACCATACTCTTTAGTTTTATAACAATGACATTCACACTTCCTGTATGAGGAGTACTTACAGGCTGAGTACAATGCTATTAGACTATTTCCACCTAAGATCACTCAGAAATTGCACTGATTACTTAAGATACTTCTAGAAGGTCAGAAAGTAATTGCGTTCCCATTAGAGGACTCACACCTATAACTAGCTTTGGCACAGAAAATAAGCACTGCCTTCACCAGAAGCAAAGATTGTTCAACAATAGGGCCTGTACTTGCACAAAGGCAGTTAACTCTGCTATCATCCTGTGACCATGGTTTTATTTGCTCAGTTTCCACAGGCATGGTCCACTTTAAGCCCACATTCTCTTGGGAGCATTTAGGCTGTTAAAGCAGTTGCAGGACCTACATAAGCTTGCATAATCAGCAGGGCTTAGCAAGCTACCATGTTTTGTATTTTGCTGAGTAACTAATCTGCCTCTGAAATACTGTGGCATCATTCTCATCTTAAAACTAACAATACTATAAACTCAAAAGTCTACACCTGCCTTCAGCGCATAGCAACTCAGCCCAGCAGAAAGGTGGGTAGGTTCATCTGGAAGCCTGTCTTTTACTTATGGTAAAAGTAGTAAGAGATGAAAGGCGTGTTTTTGTCATCCCCAGCAACAAAGACAATTCAACTGTAGATTGTATTTAAACTTTGAACTCTCAAAGCCTTTATAAAAGATAAAATCTTCATAAACAAACATTTGTATTGAGTCATGCAGCATCTACCTTTAAAGTGGTATCAGCTTTTCAGAACTGACACCCCATGTCTTGAGAAGTAATCATTAATAACTTGAGCAAAAAACTAGGATTAGTTCTTCAGTTTCCTTTAAAAAGTTATCTTACAAGAAGACTCCTAAGATACACTTCACCAAAACAGCTTTGTTCCATTCAATTAATTTCAAAGTTTCCTTAGCACAGAGCATATTGTACAAAGAAGAATACTGTTTTCAGCTAAGCTTCTACTCCCTAAAGTCACCCACTAACGTTCACAGACTCTTGAAGGAAATTGGACTTGTGCAGAAGCTGCAGTCTAGATGAGAGTAAATTATACAGAAAAAACACATCTATTTGCTATATATTCATTTTTCTACTTTAGATCTCAAACTTCACTTAAAAGGTAGTTACAGTATCATTTTTTCCCATAAAGCCAGAAGTGAAAAAAGCACTGGTGCACTGCAGGCATAACAGCTTGTTACCATCCTTACTAAATGATTCTATGATTCTAAGATGAATGGAGAGGATTTGTTCTGCCTGTAGTATGAGGGCTTCCAGATAACGTCATCTTTTAACAGCAACCTGTGGTATCATCTAAGCCTACAAGAAATCTTGAGAGGGACTTTCACAAGGGCCCCTAGTGACAGAACAAGGGGGAATAGCTTTAAGATGAAAGAGGGGAGATTTAGATTAGGTATTAGGAACATACTAATTACTGTGAGGGTGCTGAGGCGCTGGCACAGGGTGCCCAGAGATGCTGTGGCTGCCCCATCCCTGGCAGTGTTCAAGGCCAGGTTGGACAGGGCTTGGAGCAACCTGCTCTAGTGGAAGATGTCCCTGCCTGTGGCAGGGGACTGGAACTGGATGAGCTTTAAGGTCCCTTCCAGCCTGGTGATTCTGCAAGTCTTAATCACATCTGGCAGAAAGCAGGCTTTCTTCCCATTTATTATAGCAAAATATTGACAGCCACTTTTATACTGCAGGAAGGAACTTACAGAGATAAAATGTAATTATTTTGACAAGTTAAAACATTTTTAAACGCACCTGCTTGGCTTCAGTTCCACTTCCCATTGTGACAGACCTGTGTACCAAAGCATCCAATTTTACAGAATAAATCTGTCACTCTTAGAAGTGTCAGGTCGGGACATAAGTGGAAACACAGGCCCCTTCCATAAGGATCTCTAAATCAAAGACCTGTCATCAAAAGTCTCACTTCTACAGATAATTTAAGGATCTTTATGTAATCCAGAATACACTTTACAGAACAGACTACACTGTAGAAGATCAGGGTTAAAACCCCTTAAGGAAAACAGAAGTGATAGTAGTGCACGGAAGATTTGAAACACAAAGCTTAAGTGCTATGCACAAAGAAAGAATTTAATTAAAGGCACTCAGAAAATCCGGGAAGTGAGAACACCAGAAAACCAGAATAAATTCCATGGGTAAACTAATCCAATTTCTTTGTGCAATAACAAGAACAATATTCTTTATTAAACTGTTCTCACAAAACAGAGCAATTACTGAAGATAACTAACATGCAGCAACAAAATTAGCTACAGCAAGCAAAAAGGTCCTTTTTAATCATTCCCCTTCTCAAAGATTACCTGTTTCTAGCAGCACACGTAGCCCATCTGCTCCTGTTTGTGCCTGTGACTGGCACAAACTCCCACGTGGTGATCAGAAGCATTTGCTCACATGCTGGGCTGCCAAATTCAGTGCTTCACACGCAGAGCATCCAGTCACCCCTTTGGCATAAGCAACCACATCAAGCTGGGTTTTTCATCACATACCAATGGCCACATTTGAGTATTGCAATATGATGGACTTAAAGGTTTGTCAGGGAACTGATCAGTGTACATATGCACCCTCAAGAGCAAAAAAAGCAGAGCTTTGAGCTCACACACACTACTGAAGTTGCTGAAAACTCCAGGACAGTCAAGAAGCACCAGTTGTTTCCAAAAGCTTTTTTTCTTTTCTTTTCAAGCAGTAGATTTATTGGTATTCTTGACTGCACAGAACCACCCTAGTTTTTCTGCGTATACGGAGAACAAGCTGAACAACACATCTCATACAAAAGTAGCATTAGTCTTTCCTTATGATTTTACAGAAATAATCTCTGAATTCAGAAAAACAGAAATCCATTTCCCTGCTTCTTTTGCTTGACAGCCGCTACTCTACTACATAGTACTGTCATCCCCATCTCCACTGGACAACAGTACCCCCCTTCTAAAACCTGCTTAAATATATATATATATATATATATATATATATATATATATATATATATATATATATATATATATATATATATATAAATACATATACACACACTAAGTCTGTCCAGAGTCTTCTTTCTCTCCCTCTTTACTGTATCCTCCAAGCATAAGCAAGTATCATCATCAAAGAATGGTTTGGGTTGGAAGAGACCTTAAAAGATCAATCCAGCCTTTCTGTACTTCAGCTCACAGAAGACATCTACATGCCAAACCATTTTATAAGAGAGATCCAAAAACTACACCATAACAGCTGCAGCCTTTTCACCTGCCAGTTTAACAGCTTAAATCTTTGCATGACTTTGTGTAGGGACCATTCATAGCACAGAGCAGTACTTCAGACAAAAGTGATTCAACTACTTAATATATTATATTGCAAACATTAGGAAAATAATTTGGAGCATCAAGGAAAACGCTCACTATTACAGTATCTTTATTAACTTCAAACAAAGTTTTACCTTCTCTCTGGATTTATTTGTATTTCAAAAGCCAATACAAACCCAAAACCATTACATACATACCAGTCACTCCTGTAGACTAGGATGCGAGTCTTCACTGGGAATTTAGCTCTATTCCAACAATATGCATCGTCATATGTTCAGTTAAAAGGGTGCTCTAATGCAATATTCAAGCCTGGAGTTTTTTCCAAGCCTTTGGCAAATGTGGGAACTCCACTGCTTCCAAGTAGCTCAGTTATTTTTATGTGACAGCAGGTAGCTATTTCAGTCGATTGTTTTGTTACATAAATGCCACTACAGACTTTTGTGGCTTGGTTTAACCCAAAACATTAGTCCTGGAAAAGTCTAGTTATGCCAATAAGCTAATCTCATTAAAATACTCATCTGGTTTTAAGTATGCAAGAACTAGTCAAAGCAAGTTCCATTTCAGCTACTGGGATTTCCAGCAAAAAGCCTTCCATCACCTTCCCAGAGGTACCAGTGAAAAACAAGTCTAAACCACAGAAGCATTGGTCCGTTTTTGACAGTGGTATTTTAAGTGTTTATTAAGCTGGTTTTCAGCCATTGATTCAGTTGACTGACATCCATCTGCCACATATAATATCTGAAAATGCAGTTTGCAAACTGCTAAAATAAGGAAGCTGGAGTGTTTGGCTGCATTTTTTTCTATTAATACAACAGGCAAGAGCTTCCAGAAATTGTCTTGCTGATATACTTCAACAATGCCTGAAGCAATGATGGGAAAAGGTCCCCTGGCTAGTCTAAAATAGTCCCAAGTCTGGAAAAAAGCCACTACTCTTTAATATTTTCATAAGCAGAAAAGAAATTCCCATTTTCTCACCCATCTCTAGCAATGTTTAGGCGAAATTCTACTTCCATTTTTAAAATACGGAAGTTTTATTTAAACAATGTAAGAGTTCTACAAACTGCATCACAGATAATGCACAGCTTATGACCAAGATCAATAGTAAAAGCTGAAGTCTTGCTAATGACAGTGCTAATAGAAAATGGCAATTTTAACACTGCAGTGCAGAAAACATCTGTTCTCCTAAACCCCACTGATGTGTATCATTCATGTAGATATTTATTAGATCCAGTCATCATGCTACAGTACTAGTCAGGTTAATACACCTTCCCACTGTGCAAATATACCAGCATAACGTAGGAACACAATGAAACCTGTATGAAATAGTTACTTTCCAGAAATAAGCTTGTGGCCCATCAAATTCAGATTAAAGTACTATAGATTTTAAATATTTACTTGTCTTCTTAGCATACCTACTGGGTAAGACTAGTTTCTTGTTCAATTCCCCAAAATAAATATAAGCTTTCAACTGAAAGCATTTATTTCCCTAGTTTTCCAAAGCAGAGCCTGGAGGGTGGGAGGGGAAATGCTGCAGACTCGCCATCAGTCCACTTAGTCCATGAAAGCATCTCCTGTCCCAGTATTCGTTCAAATCCAAGAGATACCTTCTTCCAGTGAAATATGACGGGAGCACTTATTGTATTTGCAGCAGTTCAGTCTGTTTCCATGGCAGCACTGCGGGATTCCTTCGCCACCATGAGTCGCATGAGCTGACTGTGGAATTTCTCAATCTTCTTTACGTCTTGTGCCTGGTCTGTTCTATACAGCAAACACTGTAAGAAAAAGTTGATTCACATCAGATTTCACTCAAACTGGTTTTATCCTGTTTATAGCTGCAAGATATTTATGCTTGGAACACATAAAACAAGTACTTAAATGTTCGTTTGCGGCATGTTATTACCAATCATCAGCAGCAGCAACATCTAGTCTACCTTGTTTTAAAACACATCTGTGTTGACACAAGTTTCTTTGAAAGGCTCACACCTTCCATTTTGAAAATAGGGAAGCTCATGATTTATCCTGTTTTTTATTCTCCCAGAGAAGGTGCTAAAACTTAGGGTTAAAGCTGTCTTTAAGACACTCCTGTTTGTGATCTCTAAAAAACAAAACCAGATTTTAAATCTGTAATTCCTTTCCTATTTCACTGTATTCTGGAAGTAAGTTTATCTTGCCTTTCACAGTCCTTGGTGTTACACTGCCAGTGACACAAAATCAGTATTTCTCACTGCTGGGGATCCCTTCCCTTAGGCAAAATGTAAGACAGGCCTAAATAAGGAACACTGCATCTGATTAAGATAAAAAGGAACTCTTTGATATGACAAGTCTGTGAATGCAAAAGGGACAAGCAATAGTGACTTACAATAAAACTGCTTAGGGTTTTTTTTGCTAAGTAATTCCTTATATTTGTACAGCCTCAGTATGACTGCCCAGGCTGATCTAACAGTGAAAAAACTCATAATACTCCATTCCTCAGTGCTGTGAACACAGTGACTTTGCCAGTATTACATTCCTATTTTAAGTTAGAGACAGTTTCTTTTTTCCTTCAACCGTATGAGTTCTACAGATTAAGCAAAGAAAACTTCCCTTCTTGCCTTTAGAAAAAAGGCAGCCCCCCCCCAAAATCCCAAACTAAACCAATCCCCCGCCATCTCCCAGTGGAGAGTCTTTCCCTGACTGGAAGCAGGGAAGAAAGCCTGCAACTGAAAAGAGTTCACAGTCATGAACCAGCCTACTCCAACTTCCCGTATGGAAGATTTCAACTAAACTGCCCCCATTCCCCCTGTTATCAGTGCCCTGAACTCAACATCTCACCCATGTCAAGCCCTATCACCCTATCAAGAAGTGGAGTTCCACATCTCTCACAGCTATTGGAATATCATGCCAGGCTACTTTTCCTAGAAAGAAGAAATTTGACTTTTTCCACGTCTAAAGATCAGAGAAGGGCAGACTACTGTTGCTTACCCTGAACTGCAGAAAAACAACTTGGCTACAACATCACTAGCAGCAAGAACCTGGCACTGTCATGTACATTAGCACACATACACCAATGCCCACCACCCTAACCCCATCCACCCCAATGTTTCAAAGTGCCCTTCCAGGCGATTTAGAACAAAAGCAACCAGTAAGCACAGCTGCTCCACCTCCTTGAACAGCCCTGGGAAGAACAGTGCAGAATTCCATATTGCATGTATGTTCCAGTATTCACTGAATGAGTACCGAACACCATGGCAGCATTTCAGAAAATGGGATCTCTGAACTGCAATGGAATCTTGTCTTTCAGTCTCATCACCACTCCACTGTCTCAAAATCACCAAAAAGGAGCTTAACCTATGGCTGGAAGTTGTCACCACTCTGAGCAAATGAAAAGGGCCACACTCACACTACTAGACACCTGTGTTTGAAGATGCTCCTGAAAAGCTTCAGCAGAAGTCACCAATGTCACTCCATGAAGCATTTTCAGATAGAGAGAGCTTGCAAGATTTTTGTAGTGCTTGTTTTCCTAAAATCCTGAGTTATGCTGACACCTGTGAAGGACACTGAAGTGTTACTTTTCCTGGACTGTGCAGAGTTGAACCACAGGTCAGTGTCAGTCACAGACACAGCAACTAAGGAAGGCTGAGCACAAGTTTAGAGAACAGTCAGGCACTCTGAAGGCAACAGCCAAGAGGTCTCAAGTTGACTGACAGCAAAATGCAAGTCTGTGAGAGGCACAATAAGCCCTGAAAGAGGAATATATTCTGTACTTACAGCTACATCATCCGTGACTTTGATACAGAGGTTCCCATCACAGTGGCGATATTTGAGAACAACCCGCACCTGAAATGACAAATTGTAAGAATTAAGGTCCACAGCTAACAATTCTAAGAGCATACCTGAAGGTAATCTGCCCATTCAGACTAACTTTTATTATAAATATGTACTGCTTCATATTTTCATCTCCATGGTGACCACTAATCCCACAGCCAGGACAATGTGGGAGTTGAACCATCACATTTCCCTGCCTAACATATTAAACCAGTATTACAGCAGCATCAGAAACTTCACATCAGACATGTTCAAAACCATGGTAAATACAACAAGGAGAACTGCAGAGACCTCAGTGACAGGCAGGATGAACCACAGGAGGTGTGGCAACACAAGACACTTCAGAAGAAGTAACTGGAAGCTTGTGTTTATAACCTTATAAACACACACAAAAAAAGTCTAAATCTAAAATCAAGTCTAAATGAAGACTTGAAAGGGATTAACTCAGTGAGGTAAGCTTAACAGTAGTACTTTTTCTTCTATGATACCTAACCTGATATGTAAACCAGTCATATTTCCAGCCACCACAGTTATTTCAATAGCTGCACCACTGCCTACAGACAGATTTGAAGTGTTCTGATGTTTTTGCAAGTGGAAAGAGAAGATACAAAGAGGAACACTTTCTAAGTAATTAAAATCAGAAGACTGAAGAACTTCTTTCCAATTAACTGCTTTCAAGATTCAACTCTTCACTGAGAGTTCCTACTGTTCCAAAAGAAAGAGGCTGCCACAAGCAGACATGGACTTGATAGATAGCTTGTTCCCACAAAAGACAGGACCATTCACTACTGAGTTTACTGGCCCATGGAGAACATGCACTCTCTCCCACGATTCTTGTTCTTCCCTCAGCTCCTTGACAAGCCAAGTTACACACAAAAGCTCCTCAGGCTTGTTCTCCGTACTCATAACTCTGAAGCCTACATAAACTCCTTCATACAAGACAAGTTTATTGTCATGGATGGGGAGGGATTGCCTTTGGAGGCCCCTGCAGAAAAGGGGAAGAGGAACTCCTGTCTGCAGCAACATCCCTTGTCTTTCATTTTGTTGACTATTACAGAGCATAAGAAGGTAAAACAAGACAGTTTTACTGTCAGTAGATAGTGGCAACTGCATATGAAGTCATCACCTACACTAGTTAAAGACAGATCATAGAATCATAGAACACCAGGTTGGAAGAGATCTGAGAGATCATCTAGTCCAATCTTTCCAGGCAAAGCATGACCCAGACTAGATGTCCCAGCACCCTGTTCAGACGAATCTTAAAACATGCCCAGCATTGGGGAATCCACTGTTACAAACTACTTCTGAAGGTGTCTCCATGTTCTCTATTTTTGGTGAAGAAAACTAGGTCTTTTTTTCCCTAATGTTTTCTCAAGCATGAGTTCCTCACTGCCTTTTGTGCTGCTCTTTGGCTAAATTATAGCACTTTTTCTGAATACTTAAAGTTACTGTGAACAGTTGCACAAACTACATTCCTGAAAAAGTTACCAAAACCAAAATGCAGTCATACAGCAAGAATATTCTTAGAGCAATTACTCTTTAGAAAGCAAGCACCTTCCCGTCTGCAAAGGCACTGCAGGCATCACTACATAAGACCTAACGAATGCTTTAACTTTTTAGAAAGACGAATTCAAATGATGCAGTCTTAAAGGTTCTCATCTCATAAACCAAACCCACTCCCGACACACCTTTCATTCCGCAAAACTCGTAATCCCAGTTCTAACTCAGAGGCACACTGTAAATGAGCACGTCTCTGAGGTGCCGTTCTCGAGGCCCGCACCTCAGTAACACCACCTATTGCGCCGTACTCTACGCGCGATCTGGCGGTCTTACATGAGGCTGCTGCCTCCCGCCTGCCCGGTGCAGGCCACAACCACCCTGGGCACACCTGCAGGTCCCGCCACACGCCGCACACGGGTCCGCGGCCCGCCGGGGACACGCATCCTGCCTGGAAAGCCGCCCCACAGCCGGTTCCACGGCCCGGCGTGGGCTCAGCGCCCGCCTGCCTGCCTCCCTGGGCAGCCACAGGACACGAACCGAGACCGCCGCAGCCACCGCCTCACCACACAGCCGCTGCGCCCCGGGCCTACCGCGAGCGGCGAAGGCCCACCTCGGCCGCTCATCCCTCCCGTCCCTCCCGGGCCTGTCGCTGCGGCGCCCCCCACCTTCATGGGGTCGGCGAGGTAGAGCTTCTCGGCAGCACGCGTGAACTCCTCCCAGGCCTGGTAGTGCGGCATGGCGGGGCCGGCACGATGCGGTGCTCCGCTACCCCCGCGGCGGCAAGATGGCGCCGAAAGCGGCGGGCGCTGCGCCGCTGCAAGCCGGCGGCTCCCATTGGTCGGCGAGAAATTGCGGCCCAATCGCGAAGCGCGTGACTCAGAGATCGCGGGGCCGGGGGTGGAGTGCGGCCGAGGGGCACCGAGAGGGAACGCGGTTGCCACAGCGACCCCGCGAGGCGCGGCGGGATGCCGGAGAGAGTTAAGGGTTCGATGCCCGCCGCCACCGGCGGAGGAGGAGCAGCAGGTGGCTTGGAGGTGGGACGGTCTGTGAGGTGGATCTTGTGGGGCTCCACAGGTCGGGTGCGGGAAGCCTCTGTGGCTGCCCCTCAGAGGGGCTGGAGGCTCGGGTGGACCAGCGTCGTGGCCTGGCTTCGTGAGGAGGGCCCGGGGAGAGGTGAGGGCAGTGCCCCGGGCCAGCCCAGGCAGGCGGGCCCCGAGCGTGAGGTTATCTCGGCTGGCTTCTACAGCTGGATGTGGTCCTGCTTTTCCCAGCTGGAAGGTCCTTTGTGAGGCTGGAGGCTGTGTCCATGTTGAACAGAAAGGGTATTTGAGAGCAGCTCTCCGGCTTGCCTAGGCCGCTGCAGCCTTTCAGAGGAGTGCTGAGGTGGTGCTTGGGAGTGAAGCTACTGGTTTCAGAAAGATCCGAAGTTGTGATATTGTAAAGATCTTGGAGAGCACTCCTTTTCAAATATGTGTGTGTGCAACATATTTACGTAAAACTGACTGAAATTCATTTCAAAAGAGAAATGAGGGGTAAAATCCCCAATTTCTCCTGTTAGGTTATAAAATCCTGTTTCCTGAAGTGACCTGTGCTTTCTGTTCCTTCATTGCCAGATGGTTGTAGCCAGCCACAGTGCTGAGCTCTGACCACGTTACGCAGCTTGTGTAACCCCTGCAATTACAATTTCATTTGCAACCCTCGTTTCATAGGGACACACTGGAAGCCCAGCAGCTCCTGACAGTGACTCACAACTTTGAGTTAGCTTTACTGAACTGGGCAATCCTCAGTGGTGTGGCCAAACAAGTGAACAGGAAAGTTTAGGGCAGGTCTGTGTGTAAGCCTCCAGTAGCAACATGGGGAAATAGTAGCTGTAGGGCTTTTGACCACAAAAGACACAATAGGTGCAAGGGAGAATGAAGAAACGTGGCATAGAAATGAAAGGGCTGATGGGAGGTAAAGGGAGAAAAACTAGAATGAGTTTCCCTGAGTCAGTAAAGCAGAAAATAATTGTTACTGTGGGGATCCACTTTAGCCTGCAGTAACCAGACTGCCAAACTTTAATACATTGTGACTTGTGGGTGTTACAAACGTGGTCTAAACAATTCTGGTAAAGGGTGTTGCACCAATGAGTGGAGGCTATGAACAGTGGAAAGGCTTAAAAGTTTCTTGCTTTTTAATTTCCAGAACTGCTCACAGAGTTTAGATGCTGTTGAGTGTGAGAACCAAGCTTCAGAAACGTAAGAGATGTCTTTCAGATTCTGATTAAAGGTGACTGATGTATTGAAAGAGCCTAAAACAATTATTCACAGAACCTAACAGGGAGGGACTGCTTCGGGTAGCCATTTGTAACAGCAGAGCAAGAATTGCTTTTGGCAGTGTTTTACAGACACATGGGGGATGTAAATACATGAAAATGAAAGTGTGGGGAGCACAACATTTCATAGAACCATTACTCATCAAATTTGGATCTGGGTTTTCAAGTTGGACACAGACATTTTCTGCCTCCAGTTTGGGGCTGTCCACTCAGAAGCACCTTAGGGTTGATTGATTTTTATAGGATTTTGATTTTTGACTCAAATGTTCTGGATCTTTTATGGCTCTTTTGACACAAGAGCTATTTTAGGAGCTTGCAAATGGTCAGTCATTAGCCCTGTAATTCACAATTTCTGCAGCTGAGCTAATGCAACAGGGCAAGATTAGAAAACAAACCCTTTTTGATATTTCTTCTTCCTTAACCCAGATGGTTTCTGTGATCCAGTTTAAGATATGCACAACTTGGGAGGTGACAAACTGCAGCAGCCAGGACAAAGAGCACAGAGAGGGATTTCATAATTGGCTTTACCTCTGAAGAAAATGTGATGTGTCACTGCGACATTTATGTACAGCCTGATACACAGTTCTGCACAGCCTGTTCCTGGCTGCAGATCTTAAGGATTTCGTCTTCCCTGCCACCACCGCCACCTATGGCCCCACGGTTGTGCTGCCACAGCTGTTTGTAACTCTGCACTGGGATCAAATCAGTGCTTGCATTAAAAGCAGCACTGGTTTTAGTAACACTTTTTTCTTAACCCAGATGGGTTCGTTTTTCCAGTTTACTGTGTGGCCCTATGTACTGGTGTGCTGACACAGCTGTTGGAAACATACCTTTTTTTGGTGGCAAGGCAGGATATGGGGATTCCTACTGTTTTTGCTGGCTTGCCACCAAAAATGGGGTCTGTGTGTGAAACTGTCCCCCTCTTCCAGCTCTCCCGAAAACAAGGCCAGTTGCTGAAATCTTGGCAATTAAAAGGAGAAGCTATTTCTGAGCCTTGAGGAATGTCTGATACCTATAGTTAGTGCGCTGCTTCACTGTGTTGTTCTCCTCTTGCCTGGAGAACAGAACATTTTCTTGACATGTTTGAAAAGTAACTTAGGCCACTGCAGTTATTCAGCTGAAAGTTGTATTTGATGTATGTCCAAAACTGTATTTTCCAAGAGAGTTCCAGTGAATGCAGTAATAGTAGAAATCTTTCAATGGGCTTTTTGTTTGGTGAAATAAAATGAACAGTTGTTTATCACTGTGGAGTGTTTGGTTTGCAGCCAATAATAATTTAGTAGTTAGGAAGAATTCTGCTAAAACATACATACTTATCTTGCTTTCTTTTCTTGAGTTCCTGCTTTCCTCATGCAAGAAATCATTCCAGTGATCTTAACAGCCATTCCATCACTTGTAAGTGAAATCTGGAATGCTGCAAAACCTCAGCTACCCTTTCCTCAGCCTCCCCTTGTATATCCTTGCTGCATCACCCAGACCACCTTAGATAATGTCTTTTTTAGCTTGGATTTAAGGCCATAAAAAGCTATGAAGCAATAATGTAGCTACTGTGCAATGAAGATTTTTCATGCGGTTTTTCCTCAGGCCTTTTCCCCTCATCCAACCTGTGTGTACATGATTAGTGATCTCTCTTTGATCAAGCTTCTACATGCATTGCCACTGCAAGTTCTGCTTTGTATAGTTACGTTCAGGCATCTGGATTCCACACGGTAATTTCTTTAGTATTTTATCTAGTGTCTTCCTTTGCATAAATGACAAACTGGAAGAAAAGAGCAGAAAAAGACCTTGCATTATGTACTAAAATACCATGCACAGAGATCTTGAGTTCTTGCAACTCATATAAAGTTCATGGAAGTTGCAGCTGCTCAGCATCACTCAGGGTGAGATATTTGGTTTCCTGTTCTTCACATTCATGCTTTTATTCAGGCTAAAGCAGGTGCCATATTCTTATTTGCAAATGTAGTTTTCTTTCCTGCATAAGGAATTCAGATAAAAGAGTATTAAATTCATTAAAGTAGTTGTCTGCCACCGTGGCATACTACTGGTGGGTGAAACAAGCTGGTCCTGCCAGCTAAAAGAAGTTTGTATAGAGCACTATGCCTTATAATGCTAAATTATGGATTTGATGGGAAACAATAGGACAAACTCTGATCTTGCTTATGCTGCTGTAAATCTAGAGCCATTTCATTTATTTCAGTAGATTTTTTTCTATATCTGCAGCAGTTTAATTAAGAGCAGACTTTGGTGCTGAGATGATAATCCTTTTCTTGGACCAGGAGCAGCATAAAGTCAGTGCAGTTATACAGGTCTAAAGGAGTGCTAATGAGGAATTAGTTATAAAGCAAGGATTTCTGCCAGGAATGCTTAATGCTTAAAGAAGGAGATACAGTAATTTCTTTCAAACTAGCTTCAACCCAGCCCTCAGTAAAGTTGAGGAGAAGGCATGGGCATGGTGATTATACATTCCATTCTGGTGTGTATATGGTCTAAAACAGCTTGGGATTTGTACTGATGCAAACTTCAATCACAAGGGGTTATTTTTTCCTTTGAAAGGGTATTTTTGTGCATAAAGATGCAGATAGCTCTTTAGTACAGCAAGATCTGAGGTCTTTGACATCTCACTGGCTTCTGAATCTCAGTAGCCATGAGAACCGAGGCTGCAGTCAGAAGCAGTTCGTGCTCCTGGATGGGTTATAACATGCCAAACTGAGCCACAGGTTTTCACTCCACAGCTCCTAAAGGAACAAAACATAGGGCTCCTTTCTATGGGTTTCATGTATTAAACAGCTTGGCTAATGGTTTGGCCAGGTTAAGCCATACATAGTTAATTACATCAATGCTGATTTTCTATTTCTCTTGCTCACAAGCATCTTATCAAGTGATTCAGACTTATACTGTCATAACAGGATAATGAAGTATTGGTGTCACTTGGTTGTTAAAATGTTGTTTGTGATAGTAAAGGCTGTATTTGGACAGCACAATTCTGGGGCCCTGTCCTGGTCAGTGACTGTCCCAGTCAAATCACAGCTTCAAGTCAGGATGAGACCTGGGTGCCTGGTACTATCCTCATTCCTTTTCCCCAGTGCTCTTGCTCCTGTGAAAGGAAACACGCTGCAAACACATCCCTGGGGAGCCTGCAGCCTTGGGAACACCATGATCCACACTTGCCATACATTTTAGCCATAACCTTCCAAAAGGCAGCATTGTTTCCCAGTTTGCTTTAACCATTAGGAAAAAAAATCCTGTCATTTAATATGGTCTAATCGAATCTTCCTGTATGTTAGGGAGTTTACATATGTGCATGTAAGTAGCCATTACACCTGCAAGAGAGCTGTCCCTGCATATTGCCCTGTTGCCAGCATGGTGTTAATAGAAACTGCCCTTTCATTTTTGGATGCTGTTCTGACAGCGTTCTAGTTAAGCTATTTGCTTTTGATAGCTAGAAAGATGTGTCCCTTCCTGTTAAGTGGTCAGTTTAGTCCCTTCAGCATAATAACATATTCAAATTAATGTGCTGTCATGCAAGAGACATATGTTAGAGAGCAGACTCTATTCTGTCATGTCATTGACTGTTGAGATTTGAGAATGAAATAGCAGTCCTCATGATGGCCTTCAGGGAAAAGGAGAACACATCTGGTAGCCAGCTCATGAGCTGGCGTTTGAAGCACTCTGAAAGGAGACAGACACTGTCAGCATTAACTGCTCATAGGTTTTCTATCACTGTCACGTGAAGTTTCTGAGCATGCTTAAGATGGAGTTTGATCATCTGCTGGCACACACTGAAAGCACATTGATTTCTTACATGAATCTTTAAATAGAAAAGCTTTTTATTTGATAGGCATGACTTAAGGGTGGTTTACCTGTGATACTCATGCTGCCATGGCTGATGTAATTGAAGAGTACAAATCACCACAACAGGCAAGTGAGATTAGATGCTTCCGGTGATACCTTCCCCATAACTACATCTGGGCAGAAGGGCTTTAAATACCTTTAACTAAGTTAACTTCTAACTCTAAACCACATGTTTCAGCCCAGATCAGATGGAAATTACCTCCCTGTCAGATCAGCCTGCAGAGAGGAAGATGTGAGCAGTTCCCAGTCTGCTGAAATGCTAAAGCTTGAACCTTCCTTGTGGGTGAACCCTGCTGACTTCTTGATGAAGTAAAAGAGTAGCACACTTCCTCTTCCCCCTGTGCTGTTGTGAGAGCAGCAATGTGCAGCGGGTGGGAAACAGTGACTTCTGCTGTTTGCTAAGTAAATCCATGCTGGCCCTGAAGTTGCATGGCCTCATTCAAATGGACTCTTGATTTAGCAGTCCCAGCCACTTGTCATTGCCTTTTCCCAGGAATTAATGCCCTCTCATGATGTGTTTGCAGAGGTGCTTGTGTGAGTGCCCCTTAACCCACTTCAATCAAACTGGGTTAACAGAAACCTCCTATTTAATCCATTTAAGCTAACTCTGGCTCAGGTTGACCAAAACAGGTGAGTCCACATGAGCCATGCTGCAGGCAGAGCTGAAGAGGTGGTCATTTCCACAAGAAGTAGGACGAGCTGAGCAAGGGGAGTGGATCTGAATCAGCAACTTGTCCCATGCCCTCAGAAGAGGATGCCAGAGCTGCTGGCTCCTCAAGCTCTTCTGTTTGAGCCTTTGCCCTTGGTCAAGAGTTGGTGAGGTAAAGGTCTAAATTATGGTCAGATTAGTGTCTATGAGGATTCTTACCATTTGCATTGCCAGTTTTGGAAACAACTTGCAAGCACACATGTTCCTCTGATGTCTACAGTATGATGTTATAGTGTTATGTATGATGTTACAGTATGACATGTTCTTTCTCTAGATGTCTGGTGCAGAGCTTGTGTAGATGTTTGATTTGCAGGCCCACAGAAAGCATACGTAAGAGCTGGGACCTGTGCTGGGAAGGGATTCCTCCCTTCCAACATGCTGCTGCTGTTGCAGTCCTTGTCATGGAGCTTGCAAGTATTTACCTGACCCTTCAGTTGGCTTGAATTTTAACCTCAAATCTGTAAGTTTAGTGTTTACATGAGATTTGAAGTAAATGAAAAACTTGAAAGGTTGGCATGTAGGAGTGGGGACAGGGAGAACATCTTTATAAATGACATGCCAGGGCTGCGACTTTATGTTGAAAGGATAACTACTAACAAGATTTGAAATGTGTCCTAACAGTTGCATTCTTCCTGAGGTGTTTTTCTCTCTCCATTAGCAACTCTTACTGATCTCGTTATATTTTTTATTGTGTGTATGAAGTAAGTCAAAGGTTGAAGTGATCTTGCTGCTTCAGGAATAAATAGCAAAGTTCCCCCTTCTTTAAGATGAGGCAGAAGTTTAGAGGTCACACAGATACCAGAAACAGATACACAAGGGACGTGAATGAAGGAGGAAATACCACTCTCATCATTATAGGCTTTGGAGAAAGATGAGGGGCCTTCAGGCAATTCCCAGCCTGATGTTGACCCTCCTTCCTCCTCTCCCTGCCTGTTATCTGCTCGGGGCTGGGAGGAAGAGGAACTGGGAATGGTAGCTTGGTAGCTGCCTGTTTTCTAAGGAATCTCTGTACCAGATCTCTCTGTATAAGGATTTAGCCCATCTGTGTGCCCCTTATGCAGCACAAAGAGATGAGACAGGGCAGTGTGTCTGCATATGCATATTTCAAATATTTTTTTTCCTTAGGGTTGTTTTCACTTGTATTTTGAACAGGGTAAATGTGGCTGCCCTGCAGCTACCTCCTTTTCTGTAGAGTTTACTCTTATTGATTTAAAAACAAGAATCATAAGAAAGATTTGCCAGCGTAGCATTTGCTATGCAACATTTAGATGCAGCTGCTTTGAACTGAATTCCCAGCAGAAGTGAACGGATTTTGAGGCTTCCAGATCCTAGCAGACTACTGGTTTTTGCAGACAGAAATCTGTATGATATGTACTTCTCCAGAGATCCTTCCCAGCCAGCTAGGACTGTACTATCCTTCTCCTACCCCACTGAGACCTATTATCAGCTTTTGGGAGGGGATCCTTCTGGACCTAGGAAGTTAATTAGCTTTGCTTGCAAATGTCTGCCACTGAAGTGACTGATTACGTTTTGGAGGGAAGTAAAGCTCTTGTCTCTGGAGTTGAAAACAGCAAACCCATGCAAGTTTGTATCAGTCTTGACTCTTATTTCTCCTTTTTACTCTTATTTCTCTTCTGTGGGGCAACACTCTTCTCTGTATGTGCGGAAAATTTTCCAGCAGT